AAGAGGAACCAATGGTTAGAGACTTTAGGTGATCACATGGCTGAGAACCGATGTCAGTGGCGCAGATGTATACTCACATTATCCTCATCCTAACATTATGCCGAACCTCACTATTTTGTCATTCTTCCTTTCTTTCTTCTCTTACCTTATATTTCTTTTGACTGAATTTCCTTATCTTCATCTTTCACCTCACTACCTTTCTACTTGATGTAGTGATATGAGGTGTGGCAACCAAGACCATTACGCAGTAATGCCTGGTCCTATGTTGATACTGATTGATTGATCGGTTGCTGACGGAACTCTATTGATCACTCCACAGTTTAGCTACTGGGACTAAGAGGATCACTATCACAGTTTTAGTTAGTTGGAAGCAATCGACAGAAAATCTTGTCTGAACTAGATTTTATGCTTGTTGGCACTCGTCAGCAGGGTGTATCTGTAAACATTAGGGAGCTGGTGTTCTCAGTGCTGCAGTCAGAAGCGTTACTACTGAGCTATTCGGGTTACGGCTGACCTCCTGTATGACTACATATTATACATTGATTGTCATTTATTCTAGAATATTATAATCATCAGTATTTCTTCCCACCTGGTAATTTCATATAATTCTGGTTAATTTCTAGAGTAGCAATCATCACGGAAGGAGATCAGGTGGGGGAGTATTAAAACCTGGCAGCGTTGAACAGCTGTTTTTTCACACTATGGGCCGCTTAGCAGTTCTTACCCACAACTGCATCAGAGATAGAGGTCAAGACCTTCACGTCTTGTGGCGGAAGCGTTGAAAATTCAACCACTGCGTCTAGTTTCAGTAGTCCACTGTACCGTGACTATTCGTTAAGTTCTTCAGTTGGCATACGCTTCAGTTTCTAAAAGGTGAATGCTGCTGAAGAGGCCCATACTAGGACGAAACAGCTATTTAGTACTCCTAGGTTTTCGATGACTCTCCAACTGATTTCACTCTATGATAAATACTACCTCATAAAAAAATGCCCAAAAACTTCAAACCACATTTCGCATTAATTGTTTAAAGTTCCTAATAGGAGGAAAAACAAACACTTCAGTTTTATTGAGTTTTTTGAGGGAGTTATGGGGATTCGGAAATATTTCATCTTAGACTGACGTCAGTTGCGTTATAACATGAGCTAACAGAAGTTAAAATATGGGTGATTGGATTCTGACCCAGTGGCTGAGTGGTAACGTGCTCACGTCGAAACTTAAAGGTAGCGGGTTCGATCCCCGGTGGTGCGGGGTCGTGGGTGCGCACTGCTGAAGAACCCCATACTAGGACGAAACAGCTGTCCAGTGCTCCCAGATCCCCTTTCTCCTTCCAACTGATATCAGTCTACGATGAATAACAACTTGAAATACTTCAGTTTTAGTAAATAGTTTAGTTTAAAAAGTACAAAATATATTTTGTAGACAGTTATACGTTAAAAAAAATACTCATTCAAAATTTCTACAGGAGTACTTAGTTATCAATCATCTTATCTTAGTAGTTTTATAATGATGTATAGAAAGTTTACAAACTTATTACAAATAGCTAACAGTGACAATAATTTAATATAAGCTTTATACACGTGTAATTTATGAAGAACTGTAATCACCTACAAAGGTGGCAGTTTATTTAAGAATAACCTATATGTACATCATTGTTTAAGGAACCTGATTAATGGACTGATTTTATCTAATTCATCTTGAAAATCATTCCTGCTGGTTTTATTGTATTGCTTAAAATGATATGCCACTCAAATAATAGTTAGATCGGTTAAATGTATACAAAAATAATAGACAGACTATATTCCTTTTATTTTTTTCATCAGATAATCAAGCTGTCAGAATATTCGCACACAAATGTCAACTATAAACATCTAGTACACAAATCTAAAGTAAATTATTATTCTATTCCCAATAAGCCTAACGAGGTGTACATATTATGTTAATTTTTGGAGGAAATCGGCAGGAAGACCTGCTCGATCTAGGTTTCTTGCTTTAGGTACTCATCAGCAAAACGTATCTGCAATCTCGATGGAACTGATGTCCCGCGTGACATTCGAATTCACGTCACCCAGTGTTGTAGTCAGTGACTGCACCACTGAGCTATTCGGGCCGTGATTGACCTCCTGTAGGACTGGCTTACATGTATTGATTGGTCAGGGGAGTGCAACCAATTTCATGTTGTCTAGTCCTGAGGAGAACCCTAAAATAGAGATTAATCATTGATCCCAAATTGTTATCACTATATTGAAAAGTACTTGTATCACTTTTATCGTAAACATTTGACTTGATTACATCATCAGACAATCAACTGACCAGGTATTGAAATCACGTCAATCGATAGCTGCCAACAGTACAAAAGTGATAGGAGCTCTGAAGACAGTTTGTTGACTAAATAATATCCACAAGTTTTTCAAAAACTAGGACAGAATGAATGAGAAGTTAGTTATGAGTAAGTCTAACAAAGGATGAGGTACAGTGTTGTTGGATAAGAGAGACCATACTAAGTTTCACAGGCTCATCAATTCAATAGTATAAGGGTAAAACTTGGGCACTGTGATCGAGTGTAAATCCGTTTTAGTCTGTTTATTAGAAATATCACACAGTGAAATAGTAGCATTTACTGGATAACATACCCTGCGGACACAATTTATTGTCCATAGTCATATCACGTAACTAACTCCACAACTTCGACACACACTTTATATAGTCCTAATTTTCTCTCCTTCTCTGTGATGACAAGGATAGCAGAATTTTCCATATATCTGGAACAGGTGCAGAACCATTTCTCTTACTGAATGTATTTCATGTTGATTCGATCAACACAGATTCGGTTATCAATCTCTTCCTCTCTCCAACCAACTAAGTTAGTTTTCAACACTGTCGCCCTATTCCACTCTACTGTGTGATTGTATGTCATCGCATGCAGAGCTATAGACGAGTTTTTCTCTAGATTTCTTATCTTTTTAGGATCTACTAATCTTGATTTAGCTTAGCGTTTTTGTGCTGTCTTATTCTAGTTGACCCTACCTGGTCGACTGCTTTGACCTATGTACTTGACTTCACAATCATTGCAAGGAATCTGGTAAACCAGATTATTTTGCTTAATTGCATCGATAGGATCTTTAACCTACAAAACTTGTTTGTAAGTGAGTTTGGTGGTTTCAATGCCACTTTAATCCCAGCTGGCCTTATTGAGAATTCTTCGTAGTGCTTCTGAGGTGCCGTCCTTGTATGGTAGGTAACACAGCAGAGGCTTTGAATTCTCTCTTAACTCTGTCCCCATTATTACCACTAGTAGTGGGATTATTATTAATAACATCTGTACTACTACTCCTACCACTGCTAATATTTTTCTTTAGATTTCTTATGAATTTATTTATAAATTTTGGTGTGTAATTATTGAGACGTAGGGTATTCTTGATGTGTCCAATTTCTCGTCGCAGATTTTCCAACCTACTAGTAAGCTTATTTGCTCTATCACTTAGGCATTTAACTAAGCCTAGTTTATCTGAAATGGGGTGGGATGATTCGAAGTCTAATTAGCGATTCGAATGGGTAGGTTTCCTATAGACACTAGTCTGTAAACTTCCTTCTTGTGTTAGTTTAATCTTGCAATCCAACATTGCTAGCCCACCTTCTTCACTTTCTAAGTCACAGGTAAATTGGATTACATTTACCACTGAATTTACATGTGCCAAGAACCTATTGATGTGTTCTGATTTCAGTACTGTAAACGTGTCATCTACATATCGGAACCATATCTTTGGAGTAGGACTAAATGTTTGAAGGCTATCTGTTCCCAACTATCCATAAATATGTCTGCGATGATAGGGGGGGGGATATTGGTGATGCTATGGCAACACCTTCAGTTTGTTCATATATTAGGCCCAATCATTGTAGGCTTCCTTATAGCCAAACTAGAGAATGAACCATTGAAAGATGACATCAGCAAGATGGATATGTATTACAGATACAGGTATTGCCTGTGTTGCAGTTATATATTAGCGGTGGATAGTGGCTAGCAGCGAAATCCAGGACGCACATTTCGTCCTGTTTGCTACTCGTCAGCTGGATGTACCTGCCTCTCAGTGAGGAATGTTGTTCTCACTAAGACTTGAACCTTGGACCGACCGCTTCAGACGCCAATGTTATCCACTAGGTCACCCAGTCATGATAACCACTTCTTGCGTGGTGAATGAAGCATTTAACGTTGTCACTTGTATTATCTCGTTGCAGGTTAGGAGGCAGGTACATCCAGCTGACAAGTCCCAAATAGGTCGAAACACGCGTCCTGGACTCCACTGCTAACCACTGTCCTCGAATAATCTTTTTGTATTGTCATTTCATTTTGAAAATTTGCATTATCCTTTACACTACCACTAATTTTATCATTCCTAAGTACACAATCCAACTTATTGTTATCGTTAACCCATAAATTACGTTGGCCGGTTGATATTTTACACATATGTTGAAGGTTATGTACATCAGAGGGAAGCCTGATGAAGTCTACTTGAGAACAGTATTTCTCACTGACATGTCCTGTTTAAATTTTCACTGTTATCTGTATTTCAATTCTCAGAGAAAACCGTTTATGAATTAACATCTACAGCTTCTTCCGTCGATGGCTTAGTCCATCTCGATTTGAATTGGCACACAAAGACGTGACTTGGCAGCCAGTGTGAATATGATGAATTGACAGTTATATTTCACAAGTTCACATGACAATCAGCTGAAACCTTCGGTGACTGAAGTGAAGTAAAGACCTAATCAATAGTTAAGTCTTGTAGCTCAGTTGGTAGAGCAAGAGCAAAATACACCCGTAGGTCTGTCGTTCGGATCCTATCGTGACCCAGATTTGCATTCCACCTTCAGTCAACCCTCAGTACTAAAATGACAAAAGTAGAACCTTTCTACCCTTCTGTGAGTCATTATGAATCCTTTCTGTAAAAGTAAATATTGAGGATAACAATGTGCTGAAATTGTGGAGGCAACAAAAGACTCACCTATTTTTCACCTCTGGATGTGGTAAATGATTATTTTCAGATGATGCGCTAGGAATTTTCCAAGATTTAATTTTTCGCAGCACTGTCTTAGTAGCATGTATTTGAAATCCTTCTAACATCCAACGTCTAACAGTTGGCCCACGCCAATCCCTCCATGACCATTGTTGGTCAAGTGAAACAGAACCATATATACTAGGTGCAACAGGAATATTGTAGTTTTGTTCAACTGACGATGGCAAAGCTAACACCAACTGATCAGTCCAACCAACTCGCATTCCTAATCCACCAGCAGCCATAGTGAAGGTGTTCACCTTCAAATCACGCAGAAATCCATCATTCGAGAATGACCCAATATTTTCTATCTCTGGAGGAGCTTGTCTCATTGAAATTGAACAAGCTGGACTTGATGATGTGATAACTTCCAAAAGATTATCTCCTAATCCTCGGCTTGTAGCTGGTCGACAAAATACAGAACGTGTTAGATCAACAAGTCTTCCAATAGGAGGTATACTAAAAGGAAAACTATAGATTTTCTCACTATCCAAAGGTAAGGCAGGTGACTGAGGTATCAATCCAATGATCCGTAATTTACGTGGTTCAGGAGTTGATATGGCAGGAAACCATGGAGGTTCTATGATATCTCGAGGCTGAAAATAGAAATAAAGCATAAATAACAAATGAATAAACTATCTTATTTCCGAAAAGTAGCCGAATTTATATTTGAATTATCAGATGTACAACATATGTTGAAGAAGTTTGGATTTCAACAACATCAAGGAACTCTGACTGATGAAGAAGCAACCAAGAACCTATCACCCAACAAATATGCAGAAGATGGAAGTGGAGATGGATTGGATTGGATTGTACATACACTGAGAAGACCGGTTGAGGACATGACGTGCGAGGCCAGGTTGTCGAGTGGAAGCCAGATGGGAAACGATGAGATGGGCGTCTGAGACGAGGGTGACATTGAGGAGATTGTGGTTGGAAGAAATAAGAGTTTGTGGGCAGTTGTGGAGTGAGGTTGAAAATATTGCAGAGAAGAGAGTGGAATGGAGATGTGCTACTGAATCCGTATGTTCCACTAGGAACCCAAGGGACAAATAATAATAATAATAATAATAATAATAGATAATAATTTTAGAGTGGTTATTTTATATTAAAGTACACTCCAATGAATAGCAAAACATAATGTAATCCATTTGTGTTTATTAAATGCTTAGCTGAACAAGTGATAGGATATTGCTTGAGGTCTGAAGCCATAGTTAGTACAACAGATGACTAACTTCCAACTTTTTAAAAGCAATAGAAACTGTTGACCGTTTTGAATCTAAATCCTTCTATTGGTAAGGTCAACTACACTTTAGGTTGGGTCCGTAAGATGAACCCGTAGAGCTCAGTTACCTTACTGTGGCTATCGGCAAGCGTCTATTGTTTTACAGATCTTCAAATCATCAGTCTTCAAACATCATACTTAAATATGATTTGACTATCTGAGATAGCTGTAGTTTGGCAGACTAGTATTGATACTGGGTGATGATTGGAGGTGAGATGAAAATCTGGACCGCGGCTGGATTCGAACCAGCGACCATCGGGTTATCTGCCGATGCTCTATCAACTGAGCAACGAGGTCCGACTGTTGATACGGCTGCGGTCCAGATTTTCATAGCACATTCAGTCATAACTCAGTACAAATACTAGTCTGAGAAACTACAGCTCAGATAGTCAAATGATAATCAACATAATGCCCCTCCCCCATTCTAACTCAGTTATATTTGGATTCGGATGAGAAGTCCTGACTAGACGGCCAGTGTGAATACGAACAAGCGGTAGTAACGCCTCATGAATTCACATGCTAGTCGGGCGAAACTACCGGTGATCGAACTGACGTAAAAATGCGGTCAGCAGTCGGACCTCGTAGCTAAGTTGGTTAAGCACCAGGCCGGTAACCTGTTATCCCCTGGTTCGAATCCGGCTAGTGTCCAAATTTTCATCTCACTTTCAACCATTACGCAGTACATCATACTCAAATGTCATGGTAACATTTAGTGACGAGGAGTGGGGGCATTAAAAAATGAGGACAAAATTTCTTCGCTAACACAAAGAAAACTTTTATTCAGTCTTCTTTAGCGATTAGCGAAATTCAGGTAAAACTTCTGAGATCAGTCATGTGAAATGATTTATTTATAAGATTATTTTTTTCCGTGACAATAATCCAAACCATCATCTTAGTGCGTTAAAGCGATAAACTGTATCACGAATAAGCAATAATACCATTTTAGCTGATTGATTAGATGTGTCACACAGTAGAACAGTATTATTTACTAGGTTTTGTTTCGGACACAATTTACTGTCCATAGTCACATTTAGATAACTCCACAATTTCGTAACATAATTTATATAATGTTATTGCTTATATTACACCGCCGTTGATTGGACCGAATTCATCAGTCTCTGTTGGTATATGGGATCCTGTGAAGATGCCTCGATATTGTCTGCGTTTTAACTATGTATAGTAATGATGGATAGTGGCTAGCAGTGCAATCCAGGATGCGCATTTCATCCTATACCCGTCGCACAAGAAGTGGCTAGCGTGGCTTGTTGGTGTAGTGGGTAACGCTGTCGCGCTTGAAGCGATCGCTCCTGAGTTCCAATCCTCGTGGGAACAACATCACTCACTGGTAGGCAGGCATATGCAGCTGGTGAGTCGCAAACGGGACGAAGTGCGCATTCTGGATTCCACTGCTAGCCACGATTCATCATTACTATACATAATTTATATAGTTTGAATTTTCTCACCTCCTTTGTGATTTAGGTATCAGAATTTTCCATATATATATATATATACATATATATAAAACAGATGCTGTTACATGTATTTCATGTTAATTCGGTAAACAAATATTGGTTTATCAATCCCTCCCTGCACCCTACTTTGCCCCATCCTATTCTCTAGATGCGTGTAATTGCGTTAACGGCTGTGGCTAAGGTTTGTTCTGGATTCGTTATCGTATTAGGATCTACCATTTTTGATGTGGCTATGTTTTTGTCCTCCGACAGCTTAGTTGACCCTAGTCAACTACTTTGAACCACGTATTTGGTTTCACAATCATTGAAAAAGATTTGGTAAAGTAAATCAATAGGTTCTTCTAATAAATAAAGCTTGTCTCTGAGCGAGTTTGTCGGTTTAAATGCCACTGTAATCTCAGCTTCATTGAGGACGCTAGGTAATGTGATTACAGACAATAAGTTGTATCTGAAACGTAATCTAGTATATATAACTACTTCACTGCATAGGTTTACATTGTACCATAGTACCCAAGTTTTATTCTTACATTAACATTTCAAATACACAGAATGTCATTTCACCTAGATTTCACCACTATTTACTTATTCAATTGTTACTCTGACAAAAGAGCAATTCTAAGTTATCTCCCAGAGATTTTATTATACAGAATGTAAAATTTTGATGTGATAGTTTATTTGCTAACTATACTCTACTGGACAAACCTCGAAAAATCAAAAGGTATAATCTCTTGTAAACCCCTTATTATTTTCAATATTATATCATTATTATTTATCCCTTGGGTTCCTAGTAGGACGTCTCCATTCCACTCTCTTCTCTGCAATATTTTAAACCTCACTCCACAACTGCCCACAAACTCTCATTTCTTACAACCACAATCTCCTCAATGTCACCCTCGTCTCAGACGCCCATCTCATCGTTTCTCATCTGGCTTCCACTCGACAACCTGGCCTAGCACGTCATGTCCTCAACCGGTCTTCTCAGTGTATGCACAATCCAATCCAATCCATCTTCTGCATATTTGTTGGGTGATAGGTTCTCCGTTGGTTCGTCATCAGCAAGAAAGCCAGCCAGCCAGCCAGCCAGCCAGAGTGCCCTGTTGCTTATTCTTGTTATTCTGGTCATCTCAGCCTCAGTAATGAGCCAACATAGGCAGCAGTTCTTGATGATGAATATCTGTAGTTTGTTCGAAATGCTTTTCGTAACACACCAAGTCTCTCAACCACCACATACAACCACTGACTTGACTCAATCAGTGTTGAAAATACGGATCTCGTTCCACATGATGAGTGCAATGCAGAAAATATACACACTGGTTTCAGGTTAATGAAGGAAGGCCTGTCTTGCTGTCTTTCCAATCCTGCCTGGCTTTCACATCCTCGTCTGTGCATGTGACACCGCCGCCTGTAGTTCAAACGATGCTGACATAGTAGGTGTAGGTGGAAGAGGTTACTTCCTTTAAGTTCCTCCCCTTCATGGTGATTGCAGCCTGTTGTTGTTGTTGTGATGGTGGTGGTGGTTGTCGGTTGGGTATCATCATCACTTCCGTCGTCTTTACATTCACTTGAAGTACAGTCTTCCCTGCCCTACCTCCTCTGTCAACTTGTTACTTCATGCCTGTACATCTTCACGTTTGTGTGACACAAGTTAGACACAAGTCATCATCGGCGAAATCTATAAATCTTCTAGGATCTTCTCCTCGGTCCAGCCAGCACATCTCCCTATTCTTGCTCCCCACGGTTTACTGCACCATCCAGTCGAGTCGACCACAATCAGGAAGATCATTGGTGATAGTAGGCGGCAGCCTTGTCTTACTCCTGTCTTCACTTCAAATGTATCACTGAGCTTCCCATTATGAATTACTTTGGATATGGCATCTTCATATAGTTGTGGTGATATTTGATGATGATTAATAGAAAACAGTTTTTGACCCTGTGGTCAATAGTTCAAATATATCATAATTTTGATTTCATATTTCCGCATTATAAAACAATTGTGTTGATCAACAGTCAGTGTAATATGCTAACTTATCTTTTGCTGAGTATGCTGTTTTATATAAGTGATAGGAATTACTTGTTCAAATGATCAAATAACTTCATAATATATTCAGTAGTAGAATCTAGGACACATATTTAGTTCATAAACCTGTACTCCAGTCAGTGTTGATGTTCCCATTAAGACTCAAATTCCGTACTCTTTGCTTCAAACGTCAACACATTATCTACTAGGTAGGTTAGATCATAACAATGAGCATCCAGAAAATATTGAGACACCCGCATAGGAGACCAAATAACAATAGAAGTCAGTCAGTCCGATCCAATAAAACAACTAGGCACCACAAGCACTAACAAATAAACATAACTAATACCCTTTGCACAAGAAGTAGCTATCGTGCCTAAGTGGTCTAGTAAATAACGTTCTAATGTTTGAAGCGATGGGAACAACGATCGAATCTCAATAGGGACAACATCACTCACTGAAGTGTAGATATATTTAACTGACGAGTCCCAGGTAGGACGAAATGGGCTTCCTAGATTCCTCTGTTAACCACAATCAAGTAAACTAGTGCAGTCTTGTGTTTGTCATCTAGCCTATATAGCCAGTACTAATAGTGTTCAAATAAATTAACCTGATTCGATGTAAATAGTAGACTAACATTGTTCAATTTGAGACAATAGGTGTGGTTAGCTAGATAGTCATAGTCATGGTCACAACATCAAAAAAGAGGCTAATAAACACATTAACAAAACATTGTGTTTCTTTGTAAAAGATTTAATCTGAAACGAGTATGAATTGAATCGATATATGAATGAACTAGTCATAATCAACTTCTCTCTTGGC